TATGACGGGCACTGCTTCGTCAGTTGCACTCTGGAAGAAAAAAAAAACATCAAGATGTAGAACATTGAAATAAACATACACTGTAATATAGTATGTGTTAGCATAAACTACAATACAACCTTTGCTGTAGTCTCCCAAAACATTGCACGATTGGTAATGGTAGTAACTGTATTAAACAATAACGTCTTTAGAGTAGATCTGGGTCGCGTTTCTTATCTAAATTTTATGAGTCAACTTCCAACGACAGGAGACAAATGTTCCACGAGTGAATATTAGAGCTTTTATCCAAGTTCAAATACTGACGGTGGACCAATCAAGTTCTCTCCTCTCTCTTCCAGGAGTTTAAGGCTATATTCTAAGTGACTAACTGGGGTCACAGAGGGACCCATCTGTGACCCTCCCCTAACATCTTTCTCAGGGTCTGCCTCCATTCACATTTTGGTACCAACACTTTGAGCTTGCATCTTAAAATGTTACTTATAAGAGTGGCTCCAAAAACACTTGACAGCAGCATCCTTTCATCCACATTTATTGGCAAACTTCTGAGGCACGTTTCCATGGGAAATAAAAAGTTTGATGATCAAAAGCATGAGCAAAAGGGTTTCAAACTTCCTGGTTTTGACGCACGTAAACGCTGAAGTTCAAGTTACGACGATGATCAGTAAAGAGGGTCCATAAGTTTGTAAAGAGACCAAGTTGCTTTTACTCTAAGCAGTCAATGAAATGCTACAATGTCAGATGCAGAAGGGCCCATCCAACAATAAGCCAGGAGCTGATTATCACTGCAGCAAACCTGAGAGCTGTTGATGTGTTGTTTGTGGAGAAGCTACAAAATAATAGTTGAGTAGTTCAGCCCACATGTGGCAGTGTCTCTAAACTTGCCTCTGTGGCGTTTATGGACTCCATTCCACTAAGGTGGTGCTGGGGGCTGTGATGCTCACGGTGATGCTCATGGTGACGCTCAGCACCTCGATGGTGGTTTCCATGGTGATGCCCATGGTGCACCACCATGACAGGAACAGTCATTTTGTGACCCTGTGAGTCCCAGGAGTGAAGGAAGAATTCCCGCTTTCCCTCATGGAGAACCACCTGTCTCTTAACCTGCAGGGGCACAACAACACCCATCAGATACAATACATGTACACCAGGCCGTTTCTACTCATTTTACAGACATCACCCATTCCCTGATCCATCATGCCTCATAACTGCTTAGAAATAAAGAAGAACCCGGAGGGAAAGAAGAAGATGAGCGCAACAGTTCCAGAGGAAGTTGTGGATAGAAGAGGAAAGGTCATTAATTATTTAGATAGTTAGAGTTAGTTAGATATTTTGTGTCCAACAAGAGTCATACAAACATCTGCCAGGTCGCCATCCCCTGCACAGTTCTGTTGATCTCTTTTTAAAAGGTTACGTTTAAAATAAGCATTCAAATTATTTTTCTGCTTATTTCAAATAGGCAAGATAAATCATTTAAAATATATGGATGGACTGATATGAAATGCTTACATCTCAATACATTCCTCATCCTTATGGCCCAGCCCTAATCTTTGGCTACATGATTCAGTGGGCTCACAAGTAGCATTTCACTCATTTCAGAACCAAGGCCAAGCTTTGGAGAGTTTGGGAAAAACACTACAAAAGTATTACAAAAATGTTGCATCAAGTACACAGATAAAATTACACATGTAACAACAGGATGATTTTACTTTGCTCTTGGATTATGTAAAAAAAAAAAAAAGGAATAAGAAAACGCTCAGATCCTGTTAATGGTGTTAATATTGAATGGTTTAAATTGATTACAAAGACAAAAGTAAGTTAAACACCTGAAATGGACCCATTAGTTCGGAGGACATACAGAGAAAAGCAAAGTGCATGTGCAAGCAAAGGTGTGTCCCACTGACAGAAATCTACTTTGTGATGATTCTTGGTGTAAGCATGTTCATTTGGAAACTTCTATTTAAAAAATGAAAATGCCTTACATAATAGTATTACATTAAGTCAGACAAAGTCAAGACAAGAAGGGGAAATACTCACAGTGAGCGTCCCATCTGTGTGCACAACAAAACGGCTGTCATCAGTGTTGAAAAGAAATCTTTTCCGGCCAGTGCAGTCTGTGAAGTCAACTGAGAGTGGACACAAAAACAAAAAGCACAAACTTTAAATTAAATAGAAGATTGTCATTTAAAGCTGATCCATCCAAAAAAAAAGAAGAAAAAAAAGGTTTACAAATAAATGAGAGGTGATTTGATGAGAAGTGTGTCAAAACCTGCCGATTCTTTGGATAAAACAGCTTTGCACAAACTGTTCTTTGGGATTTCTAAAAGTGTATTTACTCTCAAAGGGAGATAGAAACTTGATTCTTCCCCGTGAAAACCGACACTACCAACTTTGGAAATTCTCTGCAGTACTGCACCCAACCCAGATCAAGAAGATCACGTAGTGATCAGGAAGGACCTGTTGAGACAGGACTGGGGCAGGTTTTTGTTCAGCGAGCAGCAGCACTTAAATAGCCACACCTTTTCTGCTGGTCAAAGAGCACAGCACTGCTGGAGGCCCTGCTCTGTAGGCCATTTACTACTGCAACAGGAAATCTCCATGATGAAGACATCCACCAGCAGAGGGGCTTTGTTCATTTCACTCCCCTCTCTAATGAGGCACAGAATCAATTGACATCCGATATGTTCAGTAACGAAGTAGAACTACTTAAGTACTGTACTTAAGTACCAAAATGCAGTATCTGTACTTTATTGGAGTATATATTTGTGTCCCTACTTTTACTTTACTACATAGTTTTGATTAATTTGATACATTTACTCCGATCGATGTTTCACAGGAAATAAAGTTAAAAAATACAGTGACGTATAAGCTAGTAAATAAGCGCTAGTTCAGTTCTCCCTGTTCATTCAGGACGTAGCAGCTAACGTTAGCTAAAGCTAACCTAGCTGGCTAGCTGTATGATAACGTTAGTTAAAGCTGACCGAGCTGGCTAGCTGTATGCTACATGCTAGCATAAAGGCTCAGCTCAGGATTCTGACACTGGAATAATAAATATTGTATATAGTATTTAAGTATATATATATTAAGTATATATAGTATAGAATAGTATATATATATATATATATAGTATTTAAGTGCTGTTGATTGCTAATGCAGATGTAGTTTTCTGCTTTTTGTAAACACCTGTATGGCCTTTCATACGTTTGAAATATAAACAATATCCATCACATTTTTGACTGCCTTTTTTTAATATACACAGTACTTGTACTTTTACTTGTACTTTCGATACTTGAGTAACAATTTTTCAAATACTTCTACTTGCAATACTTAAGTACAAAAAAGCATGGTGTTGAAAGAATACTTTTACACACATCTAAATGAAGGATGCTGTAACCATGTTAATAACCTAACCCAAATAACCTAACAATAAGCCTAAACCTAACCAAAAGCAGCCAAAATAACAGTGCAGAAACAGAGGAACTGCAGCAGCTGCACAGGACTTTGCAGAACAACATGAAGGACTAAATGTCTCCCCATCACACACATCAAGGGTTCGCCTTGTAATGGTATTCACTTGGAAAGCTTCAACTCGGTTTTATTATTTACGTTTCTAGTACCAGATCAAGTATAACTTAATCTATAGGTAGCCGGCTGCTACAGAAGGACAGTTCGATTCAAGCCAATTGGAATCCAATTCACTGGTCTAAGTCACAAAGAGACAATTAAGTCAGGTTACAGAAACACCCAAACTGTGTTTAAACTTAAAACAAGAAGAAATGGGATTATACTTTTGCCATCTGAGTTACTCAATCTTCTACCCAGTTCTTTTCAAAGGAAAGAGGCCTGTCAGTTTATCCAGTTTAGAGCCAAGCAGTGTCAAAACCACTGGGAAACCCTCATAAGAATTCACACTACACTAGCACCTAGTAAGAAAAGATACTCAAGTGTTCAAAACTCGTTGATAATATAACACCAATTCAAAAGTAAAGCCTGTAAAACAGGTTCTGGGACATTTTTTTGATCTGTATTCAGAGCGCAACGGGGGATATATATATATATATATATATATATATATATATATATATATATACTGTATATGTATATATACACACACACACACACACACACAAACAAAGATGTAGTGGTCTAGGCTCATCCAGGCACACACAATCAAGATTATAACCCAACACAGGTACGATTCATGACACATGCGGAAATAAGTCAGTTTGTGGGAGTGATCATACCTTTTCCCAATCTTCTGCCTTGCCGCAGATGATTTGAGGTCACTCTGAATATCAACAAATCAGCTCCGAAACCAGGTACACATACTGGCTCCTCCACAGCATCTAAAGCCAAGGGCTAAAAGAAGAAAAACAGCAGTCATTAAGAGGTGAAACTGAAAAGCTTATATTCATAGTCTGGACAAACATTGTGGATCTGGTGTTAAACAGGCACCTTCCAGTTTTAGACTGTACTCAAAATTACATTTTGTTTCACACTGTAGTGAGAAATATTTGTTTTAAAAAATCTGACGATTTCTAGAAATAAAAAAAATCATAAGCAAATGGCAAAAAAAGTATTTTAAACGAGGAAGAACAAACATGGTTAATTCCTACATATTGCGGCTCAAAACACCTGTCTCCAGTTGGGTCCTCACAAACTAGCCTTTTCAGATCAATTTAAATTGTTTAAAATCATTTGTCTTTTGATTTTTGCGGAGTGACCGATTTTATTCTTGTAAAGAGTCCAAATGTAACCTGCTGACGTCACCAACGGAAGCTGGGCGAGGCTCCCGGGAAGCTCCGCGAGGTAAAAAAAAAAAAAAATTAAATCTGTTTTTAAAAAAGGCCATTTGCAGCCAATATTACTCTACTGTTAGTCGAAAAAAATACAGAAATGGCATCTTAAACCAATTCCCTTTTTCAATACACATAAAACAGACTATAATCTATCACGAAAACAGCAGCTAGCCACCACAAAGTGTCATGACGAACACAAAAATGTCCTCTGAAGTAAAGTTGCCTTTACTTAAAAAAAAAAAAACATTTTTAAAAGTAAAAAGTAGAGACCACAAGGTCAAATTTAAAACCAACCACCAAACATGAGCTACCTACACACGCAAAGCATTTAAATTCATCAGAACCAAACCCTAAATCAACGGAAGCCATTTGCAAAGTTAAGTCTTACCTGAAAAACTACGAGTAAAACGCCTAAAACCGCGAAGGAAGCGGTTCCCATTTCTGTCCAAAGCCTCTGGTCGAAATGCCAAAGAGAAGATAGAGATGAAAAAGTAATAAAAAAAAATATATCCAGATATATTCCGCTGTCAGCTATCGTCGTGTCGTCTTCCTGTAAAAGGTACTTTTAACGTCTGAGCGCGTTCAGCTGGGCGAGTTCGTGCAGGTACTTTCGGCGCGTGACGTCAGCTCACAGGTGCGCGCGGCCCGGGTTGCCAAATATGGGCATACAGGCAGGACTGACAGAAACCCGGAGTTTCTGTTGCCAATCACTCACGGATCGGAGATCTACTGGATCAAATCAGTCAGCGTCGAAGGGCTGGGGAGATCCTTTCTGTCTCACTTCCCTTTACTGGTGATCTCCCTCACAGAGAGCTCGCTATCTCTCACGCGCACTCACACCACTTCACTAAGGAGAGTCAATGCAGAGTGAATCAGTTTCTCCTTTCTAAAATAAACTCTCATACCACCTTAAAATAAGCAACACTTCTCTTTAAATTCCCAGCAGAGAAGTCATGAATTCCCTGCTGAGAATTGAAAGCACACCAAACCAAAATTTCCATTTCAGTGTGCAGTATTAAGATGTTTATATCTAGTTTAGTTTATGCTATAAGCTCTCACGCATTAACTTCTATTAAGCAATTCTCTCATATTCCAAGCCCTGCAATTATCAAAACATAGTAAAAGCTGGAAAATGAACATGTAGAACGTACATTTTCTGCACATTAAATGCACATTTTCTCCCCAAAAAAAACAAGTGTTGCTATTGAAATAAATGGTGGTGTTGCTGCTCCTTTTGTATGCAGGCTTCAGATATATTGGGCTGCTTGAGATTAAAAACTGATCCAAAGGAGACTCTGACTGATGAACAGAGGCGATTAACCAAACCTGTTTTTCAGTCGGGCTCGCCTCAGATCAAAACTCACATCCTGACAAGCTTTTCCGGTTACTTCTGATAAATGCTCCAACATCTACGCCTCCAAATGGCCCGGATCATTAAATGTCTTACGGTCAGAGAAGAAGTGAAGTGGACGGTAAGTACCAAAGCAGCAAAAACAATGAACTGTACTCTGTTTCGTTCTTTTATCTCTTTATGGCAGACTCAGAGGTCAGCTATCTGAAGAATGAAACACAAGATGTCATAGTTTGTGGGGCTGTGTGAGTGATGCTACGATATGAAAGCTACTGCATTATCATGAAAGAGCCTGGTCAGTGGTCAGATCATTAGCAGTGGCTCTGTGTGGGAGATTGGAGCTCATTATTCAGAGAAGAATGTGTTCAGAGCCCCTTTGCACAGCATCCAGCGGTCACTCCAGAGGTTTTAGCACACAGGAGGCCATTCCCACCCACAGCAACAACAATGCACCATGAATATTTTATGGCTGATGACCAATCATCCGGATTGATTCTTTGACGCTGCAATATTAACTCAGTTCAAATTTGACCCGGAAGATTTGCTAATAGTCTTAAACAACCTCATGCCCACACCCCAGGAACAAACTGGAAATTAATCATTATCAAGTTCGTAGTTGGGTTTTTTTAAGAAGGAAACTGGAAATCACAGATTGATCAGTACTCAGATTATTCACTTATTATTCAGATTACATCTACAGACGGTGTCTTTTCACAGACTTTTGTAAATGTAATCTATTTCATTTGAAAAACTGTGACAGGAAAAATGATTCCTTACGAGTGCGATATTGAGATAAAGCTCTCAAAGAGCACTTAAGCGATGCGATCTTTCTTCCTGTCGTTCCTCCCACAGACAGACGGGGATGTGGGGGCCGATGGAAGGAGAAGGCCGGCTTTCATTGGCCGTTTACCCCTGAGAAGGATCAGCATGCAGGTGGAAAGAGATAGGGCGATGAGTGAAGGGAGGAAGACAACAAACAGTGTCCGATTACGGGGTTTCTTCCGGGTTATTGGGGGTAGTCACGCCTACCGCATAGCTATATCCGTCACATTAGTATCACGTTTCAAATCGTGTTTAATGAATGTGAACAAACAACCAAACTGGTCTTACGAACATTGTCCTTTTTTGCATACATCTATTTGAGCTGTGGCTTTGGTTTTCGTTAGCATATACTGTAGTTCAACCACAAGATTCCCACCAGGATCGTTGCATCCAGGAGCAATAACTTCTGTATTCACTATTGACTTACAGGACTGTCTCAGAAAATTAGAATATTGTGATAAAGTTCTTTATTTTCTGTAATGCAATTAAAAAACATGAAATGTCATACATTCTGGATTCATTACAAATCAACTGAAATATCGCAAGCCTTTTATTGTTTTAATATCGCTGATTATGGCTTACAGCTTAGGAAACCCAAATATCCTATCTCAAAATATTAGAATATCGGATTTTTGAGTTTTCTTTATCACCATATTCTAATTTTCTGAGACAGTCCTGTATGTTCATGGTTCTTCAACCTGGATCTCGTAGCGATGGATATCCTTGACTGGAGGATGAGTTTGCGTTGGTAATTAGCTCCATGACACTTTTAACCCAGGTTTATGATTAACTCTGATTCAGTTCCGTGTAAGCTTCCCCTGTCGTGATGGGAAACAGAGGATTCATTTAGTCTACATGGCAGCGATACGTGACTTATTTCCTTGTAAAAATGGGTACGAAAACGTTGACATTTGTTTTCAAGTTTCACTCTTTAAACTTCAGCTTATAGTCGGATGCTAGGAGTGTCTTTTAGTCTAAAAAAAATTACACAACTGCTTTTACAGCCACTAACTTAAGTCCCCAACAGACTCTCATGCTTTTGTCAGACTTATTTATTTATTCACCAGTGAGAAATTCAGAATGTATTCCAGTTAGGATGGATCCAAAAATGAATATTCAAAGCCATCTGCTCTTGTTAGGCACTCTGCAGAAACTTCCTGATCAATAAGTAAAAAACGATACAATGGTCAGCACTTTTGAATAGATCTAACTTATTGTTTCATTCTGTTGTTCCAGTGTATGGTCAGTGAACGTTTTGGGACAGAGAGAGAGCTTCGGCTTCTCCCACCAACCTTTCAAACTGAACAAACAAGCCTCTGACCTCGTTTAAGTTTACCTTTACCCGATTTCTTATCCCTTCTGGAACTTGGGATACAGAAGTGTTCTCTGTCTTTCGCTTTTAATCTCTCATTCTCTTTCACACACACACACACAGACACACACACACGTCACCGTGGGGAGGTGGTGGGAGAGATTGTGTTAGACTTAACATGCCTTTGCCTGTACTCATGTGCGAATCTTCTTTTCGGCAACAAATCACACAGCGGTGGGCTTTCACAAAAACGATTCAGTGAACGTTAGCAAGAAAATAAATGAAGTGAAATGAACTGATCCGTAACTCACGTTGCTCTAAAGTCAGAGCTCATGATAGGATAAAACAATCTTTGAACTTGGACTTCGATTTAGAAAATCCACACAAGTCATCTTATGCTATAATATCCTACAATCATTATTATGATCGTTTTAATTGAGAACATGTCACGCTGCCCTTTTTGCTATCAGGATATATATTCTGGTGTATTGTGGACTCTTAGTTGTCTATTTGACGGAAAATAATTGTGTGTTGTCAATTTTCTGATTTGGTTTTTTGATTTATGATCATCCCCAGGAGCTCACAAAGCAAAGAACTACAATATCCTTCCACTATGTTACATTAACAGCCTTTTCTGTGCATTATTAATCTCCCTTTTGGACTCCAAATGCTCTTTGGCAACACAACGCGCTTCCTTTACCACCCACAAACTAAACTAAGCCCTGGAGATTATTAACCACGGGGCGCCGTGGTTAATAAGCAACATCGCATTTCAATGCTCAAACACAATCCAAGAGGTCATCTTCAGCTTTGAAGAAAGAATGTGTGTGGAGTGTTTCCCAGCTTTAACACTCAGAATCATGCACACAGTGTGTTTCTTTATGTGTCAGACTGGGGTGTCACACCATCCACTTCCTCTTTTTTGCGTGTTTTTGCTCGACTTTTGCTTCTGTAAACCGTCATGTGGTGGTCAGCGCTGTTTTCACGGCACGTAGGTCCACATGTTAGCTTTTTCCTGACATGATTTAACAAAGTTTACGTCGAATGCTTCATAAAACTGCGTCATGTTTCAAAAAGGAGTAGGATGAAGCATAAGCTTATTCAGTGGTGGAAAAAGTACTCATACAATGTACTTAAGTAAAAGTACAAATACACAGACAAAAATGTACTCAAGTAAAAGTCAAAGTACCACATTATTATTTTACTTAAGTAAAAGTAAGAAATAAGAAAGTACAAGCTTTTAAAACTACTTAAGTATTAAAAGTAAAAGTACTTGCCAACCATAATACCTAACGGCTTATATAATGTCATTAAGTGTACCTATCGTATTTAGTTTTAATAAATCAGTAATGTACCATTTTAATGAGCAATGCTGCAGATAAAGCATGTTTTTATTGTGTTTACCCCCTGTGACAGTTTAGATTTAGATATTTTATGCAGGTCCTGGTACTGTGCTGCTCTTCTTGAGGGAGGGCCTAATGGTTATTTCCCGCTTTGGATTGGTTCAGCGGACTGATTCTGCTCTCGCCATTGGATACTTTCAAACTAACGAACAAATCAAAAAACCGAAATGCGTCTTGGATGTAACGAGTAACGAAACGCTGTATAGAAATGTAGTGAAGTAGAAAGTACAGATACTTACTGTTAAATGTAGTGGAGTAAAAGTAGAAAGTATCCATTATTAAATCTACTTAAGTAAAGTACAAATACACGGAAATTGTACTTAAGTACAGTAACGAAGTACCCACCACTGAGCTTATTAAGCCCCACCCCTCAGTTACTTGAGTCGTGGTGGTAAAGGACAATTTTTTGCAGTAAGACAAACAATATACCAACTTTTTATATATTATTCTTTTTTGTATTCATCAAAAATACTTTTCTTATATTCTTTTTTGAATTGCTGGATGCTATTACATTGTTTAATATTGTCAGGCAAGCTGTTCCAGAGCTTCAT